GTCATCCACATCCAAGAAGAATTATTGGGCTTAGTGTTATAGTAAGAATTAGCTATAGTCTCCAAAGTTAATAAAATTTGATATATTTAATAACATTAGATAAAGTGGATTGAACTTTTTCACAATTCTTAATTTAGTTGCAAATGGGAGAGTTATACTAAGACCTTAACATATTACTAATACCTGGAACTGCTTCAGTAACTTACAGTACAGTATCTTCAGCAAAAGGTTTATTATAATTTTGATAAGATCCTAAAGGTTGTTTTTGCTCTAAAAGCTGTGTTTCGTGAAGCATAAAACTGAACAGAAATTTTAAAGCTTAAGAAAAGCTAAAAGTTAAGAAAAAAAAAGAAAAGAGATTTTAAACTCTGCCTACTAGGACAAAATAGAAGATGCTGGACTGTATTGATTATTTTCACTCACAAATTTAGATGTGAACAAAATTGTGAAGAAAAACTGAAAACTCGTTTTTATTTTGATATGCAAATAAGATATGAAGCCGTTTAGAAATTAAAGAATGTATTTGAGACTATTCAACTCAAGATTCTCATACTAGTGGAAGAGGTAGTACTCTTAGAACTCGTTTCCAAATTAACATTTTTTAATGATTAGTTAACCGAAGATGATCTAAATGAAACACTAGGACTTAGAGGTTAGTTAAAGTCGATCATTAGCAGGAAAGACGATCATGGTTCGCTTACAATTTAATGTTATGATCTAATTATATTTAATGGATTTTTTAGTTTCTAAGATTTCTTAGATTTTAAGCTCCGGCTAATCTTCAATTTCTGCTTTAGATCTCTGTTTGTGTAGTCTCATGTAAGTGGATCTGATTAACACTCAAACGTGTTCTAAACTCATCATGTTCATAAATTCGATGTACCATAAAACAGTCGAGTTTTTCTGATTGATTCTGATTGAAAGGTTTTGATTTCGATAAAGTGATTGTTAAGTTTGACGACGAAAGACAAATAACTACAAAATCACATTATTAGGATTTCAAATGCATTTACATTTTTATTTAATTGATTAATTGATATCTGTTAATAATGATATCTAATTGATAATGTCACCCCAACATTATTAATGCTTCACTCCTGGTGACATCAACTTTAGCTATGCCATCGATTCACCGACTTGCGTTTAAAGAAGTTCCTTTTTGTTGTGGTAGGTGGAAAGGATCGAAAGTAATAATGTGGTACTTGAACTCATTAAAACTACTATTTAGAAAGGAATTGAGTAGATGTCAGTTAGCTTCAGTCTATGAAAGAACTAAGAATATAAGAAGGTTAGTATTTGGATTTACAAATTTATCTAAGCTAGACTATTTTTTTTTCACTTTACATATCTAAAGCGATATCTAATGCGACCCCCGTACCATAAAAAAGGGAAATCATTTTTAAATTTTGTTGCATACAAGATTTAAAAATAAAAAGTTTGCATGTCAAAACGCAGCTTAACTTGCAACACCCACAGTGTCTAATATGTACTTGCGTGTAAGAGATACAGACTGCAAGGTAACTAACTATTCGCACAGCTGCAAGAAATGCACTAACACTGTTCGTTGGGACCAGGAAAAGTTGAAAAGTTGCTAAAATTCACAATGCAACACACAGCTGGCGATGTCAATAAGTTGTGGCCAAAAACTTTTCGTGGTCACAATTCACGGTGGCAAGTAAAAAGATCCGAATTGAGATTGCGCGAACGTTTAGTAACAAAAGAAGAAAAAGAAGAATTGACCCACAGCGACCATGACAAGCGCCATACACGCGATCCCTCATAATGGGGCGGCAAATATCGCACATAAATTCATCAACAAATGGTGACTGTAAAATATAAACGATGTGCTACAGTTCCTCGATTCCAATGAAGGAAACTGGTCATCTTCTCTGCTCGTGAAAATTTGGCGCGTGTACTTTTCACTTAGTGAAGCGATTATTTCTTACTTGATCGTGCTGTCCAGGAAACAATCTATTTGTTTATTGTTGTTGTTGTTGTTGTGATTGTTACCGTTACTATTGTTATTGCTGCTCATTGGTAACGTTTATTTGCCTAAAAGTTGGTTTAATGTTGCGGCCCAGAAGGGACATTTTCGCTTGGCATGTTGTTGCAACATTGTGTCTAGCAAATATTTTTAAACTCCTTTTTATTAAATTTTTAAAAAATTTTATCACAATTTTAATGCTTTCGATTTATTTATTATTTCTTTTTTTGTTGTTATTTTTGTTGCTTTTTCTACTAATATTCAAATCACGATTTTTGAGCAAAGCCTTTGTTAACAACAGCGAGCGAACTCAAGGCAACCCAACCAAATCACCACTTGCAACATATTTCGTCTCCTCGATGGACTATGAAATGTTTTGCTGTTTAGTGCCGCAGGTACCTGTCGATCGTTAAGTTGATATGTCGATGGAATTGGTTTTAGCAATTTATATCTTTTGCGGTTATGCGGTACCTACTTAGACCGCAAGTACATACATATGTATGCATTGCATTCACTATTATTTTAATGAATCAAACTGACGATGATGTGTTGCCATTGAACGCCATTTTTGGAGACGTTGATTACGCTGCAGCGCCCTCGAAACAATTGCCAATTGTTAGTTGCTAGTTGTTGGTTGATAGTTGCTGGTTGCTGGTTGCTAGTTGCTAGTTATGGACTGACTGCGGCGAATGATGGATTTTCTTGTTGATCGGTATTGCCGCTGTTATTGCTGCTGTTGCGGTAAGCGGCAAAGTATAAATTTGGTGAAATTTACAAGCAGAAACAATAAACAAATTTTTATTTAAACAATTTATTGCATATACATTACTTTAAATATTTTTTATTGTTGCACCTTAGGGAAGCTGTATATTATTCATGTTATTTGTTTTTCATGTCAAAAGTTTTTATAAGTCGTGTACGGTTGATACTTACTTTCTTACATTATACTTAAGTAACATAAACCTTCTTCGGACTATTTGACTATTGAACTTTCTATACGAGTAATATCTTTAGAATGCTTTTACAATGAATTTTATAACGAAACTACTTCACCTTTCAGTTCATAGTTTGATAGCTGCTAATAAATGGTCTTTCGAATATCTCAAATGATTAAGTGAAGGCAAATAATTAAATGAAGACAATGAATTCTATCAAAATAATTGCACTTTAGTTAGTAGCTAATAAACAACATGTTTATACATTCAATTAAATTTTATACCGCATTTATATAGTGTAGTAAAATATTTTTATAGAAAAATCATAAATAGTCCCGATTTTTATAAAGAAAGGAATTTATAGCTCTTCTACTTAATTAGTTCCCTCGTCCATTTAGAAATTGCAGAAATTTCTCGTTTCACTCTTTAACGACTTAGTTGAGTTTTTGGCATATGGATTAAACTGCTAATTAAGATAAACAATATGTGTTTAATCACTTTAAAGTTATCTTCCCTATAAATTTGTGAGTTTCAAAGAAAGAAAGAAATTTCAGAAATAATTGGTTGTAACTATAAATCTCTTTGAGCTTAACCTTTTTTTCAAAGCAGTAAAATATAACAATTCTTCGTAGAGTAGACAGTGAAAAACTTTCAAAGTAATGAAGAATTGTTTAGTCATAAAAAAGTCTACTTAAGGAAACCATTTAGGTCGATATAGAAAGTATCCTAACTACTGATTTTTTCAATATAATTTTTATTGAATCGCTTTTATTTAAACCCCAAAAATAAGTTTTAGAATCCAAAAAACTAATAATTTCACATTACATACTACAATCAATTATGGAATGAATTGTGAATTATACTAAAGGACCTCTAAATAAAAAGCCAGGGCTTATTTACCAGATATTACGACGCATAAGTTGAATTAACATAAATAGAAAATCTTTAGGAAAGCAGTATGGTAGGTCTACCATTCCGTTACAGTTTAGATAAATTGATCATATTAACAAGCTGTCTATTCAGTGGCTTCACTTGGTTTTCAAGATTTGAAATATGTTTCTGCCTTATTCTCTCGAACTCGACTTTAACCATCAGAACTTCCACATCAAAATATATGTTCTCATTTCTGATATATCAGTGTGTACCAGTTATTATTCTTAATATCTTTACATGAGCTGTTTGAAGGATTTCAGCGTTTGATGCACAGACATTACCTTATAGCTGTAACCCGTACATCCAGATTGATTTAATAATTTAGTTGCATAAGAAGCCTTTATACTCTAGACATAAGGGAGACTGATGCCCGATTAGCCAGCGCAGATTTATAGCCTTGAACTTCATTTGAGTCCTTTTTTTAAAAATCTTGGTCAACTGTAAAAACTCTTATTAAATAGCAAGTGTTGCCAAAATAATCAAGTAATATTTTTATATAGAAAGAACTTGTTAATTTATCTATTAATTCAACATTCACACTGACGATTTGCTCATTATACCCACTAATGATTTACTATATAAAAAACTTTCATAAAATGAGCTCATTATCAATAAATCACCTCATTTAAGGTGAAATTTGTCAAATGCAACCCTTAAAAACAAATTTCACACAAGGGAAATTATTAAAAT